TTAACTCCTCTATCTTCAGAATTTCTCATTAAAAATGAATCTGATATAGACAATCTTATCCTTCTTTTACAACAAAAGTCTCAGGAAAGGTTAGAACAATGGCGAACTAAGATTGCTTTTGAAATGCGGGATAACCAGAATTACTGGAAAAAAGAGCGCGAGAGTATGGATGAGGTCACTTTCTTGGAATATAAACGAAACTTTGAGGCTAAAATGAAAGTTCCTACTACTCCGCATAAAAAAGAACTGAAAAATAAATCTTTAGCTTTCATTGAATATGCGTAATTATTGTACAATTTAATTAAGTAGTATGTATACCTCTGACAGAAAGTATATTGCTACATTTAACTAACTATTCACCTCAGGTAAGACCATTTTTGTCACCTCTTACAATAAATGCTGGAAAAAATTCAAATCGAAAATTAATTCAGATCATAGGATAGGTAACTATGACCATTTTTGTACCACATGATTTTAGTACTTTATGTCAATTCAGTCATATACAAAAGTTATCAAAAGTGTAATACGCAAAAGTTATCAAAAATGTAATACGCAAAAGTTATCAAAAATGTGATCTAATTTTTTGACACGATATAAAAGTACTCGAAGACAGTAACTATATGAGAAAGAGTTTTAGAATCGAAAAATATAGCAAGCTTTTGGTAATACGCAAAAGTTATCAAAAAAATAATATACAAAAGCGATCAAATTTTTTAACGTAAAGCAAAAAATGTAATACGCAAAAGTTATCAAAAATATAATCCAATTTTTTAACATAAAGCAAAGTATTCGAAATCATTAATTATATGAGAAAGAGTTCTAGAATCGAAAAATATAGCAAACTTTTGGTAATGCCCAAAGGTAGAATAATATGAGGAAAGAGGTAAGAAAAAATTGTGCTTTTACGTATTACCAAGTAATGATAACAATTCGGCACTACGTGCCTCATCCTCGGGTTACCAAATAGGATAACGATTCGGCACTACATGCCTCATTCTAAGATAACATAATAGATAACGATTCGGCACTACGTGCCTCATCTTTGACGAGGCAAACGCAAAACGTTTGTCACTCGAATGACGAGGCAAACGCAAAACATACGTCACTCGAATGACGTGGCAAACGCAAAACACACGTCACTCGAATGACGAGGCAAATGCAAAACGTTCGTCACTCGAATGACGAGGCAAATGCAAAACGCATGTCATTTTCGGGTGGGTTATAGTCAGGGCTGGCTGCGTAACTCTAACTCAATTTGACGAAACTTTAGTCAATTTAATTTCGGTTTAGTCACGTTTGGCGAAACCGAAACTAGTGACTAAAGTTTCGTCAGTTGACGAAAGTGTAAAACCCTAATATAGTAATGATTGTCTTGATTATTTATCCCGTTACATTTTTAATTATAATGTAATGATAATAATGATAATAAATGTGTTTTTATTATAAATTGAAAATTTGTATTACAAAACAAAATATAACTCCAATTAATAATATTAAAAAAGACTATACCATTATATTACAATTAAAAAAATTAAAAACAACAACTTGTCAATATTAAGTCGGATTTAAATTTATTCATCCTCTGTCACCAAATTAGCAACTAATTCATGAGGATTATAATCAGTTATACCTTCTGCAAATGGACTAGTTATATCACTAGTTATATCTTGGGCTGAAATATCACTGCCTGAAATTAATACTGATAAATCAATTATTGATTCAATTGATAAATTATTATTATCAATGTTGTTATCAGAAACATCAGATAGATCCTCTTCTAATTCAAGTGATGTAAATGATTCCTCTTCTTCGAGATCCAATCCATCGATGACTGTTTCTGAGTTAGCCACACTAGAAAAATCAATATCATTATTTTTTTTTGGTACATAAAACATGGTTTTCTCAATATCTGAGATAAGATATGATCGGATTATTGCCATGGATTCCAAGTTGTCACTTGACAAAGAGTTTCTATTCAACCCATGGATCCATTTAAGTATTGAGAATGTTCTCTCACAACTTGCCTGAGAAGGTACTATTGAAAACAATTTAATTGCAAGTTGTTGCAAATAATTGTGATTATCTTCAATTGTTGTCCACCATGTAATAGGATCGTTAACATTAAATATAAAATCATAAGGGTATAAACCATCCTTAAATGAACGCATTTGCATGATGAGTTGGCTAACAGCTATATCTGTAAAACCTAACCTTGAAACATATGAAACAGCAATATCACATATTCGACGAAAATTTCCTTGTTTCATGGCATACCCTATAAATATATAGGGTGATTAATTATCATTATTTAAATCATTATAAATATAATATATTTTATAGATAATATTACCTTTATGTTTTGGATGCAAAAAGTAAGCAAGCAGATAAAGGTCAATTTCAAAAGAGTTAAATCTGGAGTTGAAAATTTTAATAATTTCTGATTGTAAATTCATATTGTTTGGTAATTGTTTAATTGCCAAAGCAAGATACACAAATCCTAAAAAACAATCTGAAAGATTGGCACTTCTTCGTTCAAGGCAATGAATGATTTGTTTGATTGGTTTAAAAATTTGTGAAATAATTCGTACATCATAAAAAAATCCTTGATTAGACATTAATGCTGCAACATCTCTATTTGTAACCACACTCCTATTTTCCTCAAGAATCTTTTTTTAATAATAATTATGAGTTATTGTTTATAAATTAAGTAAATAAAATAAGATAAGATAAAATAAGATAAAATACCTTTGCAAAAACTGGTTGGGATATTAAGACAGAATTTGTTGTATCAAACAATGACCCCCAGCGTATCTTGGAATATGACACAAGAAAGCCACCAGATATATTCATTGATTTCAGACCTTCATGGAGCAATGCATTTCCAATGTGGGATTTTTTAAAAAAACTCACCAATTTTCCAACTTTTGAAATTATTTCAGCCACAAATTCATTTTTCGCCATATCAGTAGCAATCAAGTTAATTGTATGTGCAATGCACCTAATGTTGAAAATATGTGGAAATGCATTGCAGATATTTTTTCTTGCACCTCTGATGTTGGATGCATGATCAGTCACCAAACCACAGAAATTGTTAGGACCAATTTCTTCTAAAATTGATTTGATTTCAGAAGTCAAAAAATCAGCTGTTTGTGACACTATACTATAATTTTTTAATTTGAATAAATATTCTTCTTTGCTTTGTGTGAGGATTACAAAACTATACAATACTCCACCAGACGGGGTTGTCCAACCATCAAGGGCTATTATTAATAAATAATATTAACAGAAAAATTTTGAAATTTACAAATAAATTAATAAAAAATTATATATTTTCGTTACCCAACGTCATATTTCTTTCACTTTTTACAAGTTTATTAAGAAGTTGACCTGATAATTCTTTACGTGTAGCTGGATCATATCCAGGTTTAGCCAACTTCATAAAATCCATAAAAAATGGGTTAGATACAACATTCCAAGGTATCCCACATACAACAAATGCACGTAACAAGGCCTGATCTAATTTTTGTTTTTGTTCAATATTGCAATTAGTATTTTCATAATATGAATGTAAATTATTATTGGTTTTCCTTTTTTTTTTAGAGCTAGAGGAATTCCTTGAATTTGTTGCTGTACTTATTGACATTTTATCTTCAGACTCAACATCTGATACTGAATTTTTAGTTGCAAGTTTTTTTAAATATATTTGAGAAATTTCTCTATCAACTTTTTCACATTTAAGTGCAAGATGTGCTTCTAATTTATCTGGAATTCCTCTTCTCCAAAATTTCAAGCAATATCTACATTTTGCAGTATAGTGACCTTTTGATTTAGATGTATTTTTTTCAAAATATTGCCATACATCTGAAGAAGGTCGTCCACCTCTAATTATATTTGTAGTAGTAGTAGTAGTATCTTCAACTAAATTAATAGGATGTTCAATATTTACACCTATATCATCATCTCTAAAACAATGAAAACTTATGTAAATAAGTTTATTTATATTTATATTAATATTAGTTAATATGAGTTTATTATTTATTTATTATAATACCTACACATTATAAAATGCCATAGTTTTTTAATAAGAATTTTTTTATTGCTGCTGCTACTACTAATACTAATACTACTGTTGCTACTGATAACAATGATGTAAAAAAATCCACTATGATGATTTTGAGATGGTAATGATAATGATATTCGATATATATATATATATATATATATATTAATATATATATGTGAATGTAAATGTTATAGTTTTTATTAATTTTATTAATTTGTAAAAAAATAAAAGTTGTTGTTATATATTCAATGGAATATATAATGATGTAAATATAACATTGAGAAGTATGGAGAAGTAAAGAGTTTAAATGAGCGTGAGCATTTGGCTAAACTGACTAAACTATTTAGTCATTAATATTTATATAATAATTATTATTAAGTCAAGTCAATCATTACTAATTAGGATTTTAACCCCTTTATGCCAGACTTAAGTCAAGTGACTAAAGTTAAGTCAATGGCTAAATTTAAGTCAAGTGACTAAAGTTAAGTCAAGTGACTAAAGTTAAGTCAAGTGACTAAAGTTAAGTCAAGTGGCTAAAGTTAAGTCAGTGACTAAAGTTAAGTCATTACGTCAAATTGCATGAAAAAAACTAAACTTGACTTAACGCTTTTAGTCAAGTCATGTTGACTAAACCTTGAGGTTACGCAGCCAGCCCTGTAAGTGACCTACTTTCAAAACAATTCTCTTGAATAAAAAAAAGGAAATAACAATTAACTCCCAAATCAATACCAGAAACCGTTTGTCAGTAAGATTTTCTATTCAATCTGATCCACATATGCACATAAAACAATTTATTTTTAAATGAAAAATTTTTATCTCATGCAATTATTTTATCCATTTTTATATTCTTTAAAAAACATTTTAATTAAAATAAACTGAGTCTTTTGGTATAAAAAATGTCGATCGCTGTCTTATTATTTTTTCTTAATATATATAATTGCAAAACTTCCTTAATACTGTAAATAAAATCACTTGTAATAGATTGATCATTTTTAATTAAATATGCATATTTGAATATACCATATACACCAGTCAATTGCCTAATTGCACATATAAATGGACAAATGGGGGATGATGATGTCCTACTTTATTTTTTTTCTTTTTTTCATTTACATCATAAACAAGTGGAGGGACTAATTTTACCTATCAAGACAAATAAATAAATAAAAATTGTAGATAAAAATAAACCAACTTGTATGTAAACGGCAATGGCAAGATAAATATATAAGATGATAATATCGCATTCATTCACATACTCAATCAAAACATTATTTTTTTATCGTTTTTTTGTTTTTGTTTGACAATGAATTTTGTTTTACAATCACCTTGTTATTATTTCTCTCTATACTTGTGATCATTAAAGTCATGATGGTGTAATTAATAAATTACTGCGTAATTAAAGTTATGATTGTCAGGAAAAAAAAATTTTTTTGTTTTTGATAATATGGTTTGAACCTTTGAATTTAAAATTTTTTAAGAAACAATTGAAAACAATAATAAAACTAAGATATTTTCCCATTTTGATTTTTTTTGATAATTGATTTTAATATATATCTTTCTTGAATACACTTTCATTGGTTAAAAGGCTTTGGTGAAACAAGATCAAGAAGATCATTAGTATGTTCAAGCCTAGATATGTCATTTTGTAATGTGGATATCTTCCATTCATTACAATAACAATAGAAATATTCCATCTCGCAGGTGGTTACTTTATTATTAAATATTTAAACCTTATAATAGATTTAGAATTATTGCTCATTTAATAGGAAATAAATGACCCACACAGATAATGATACAAAGATAATGATACAAAAGATAATGATTTAATTATAATGGTATATTATGAGTGAATATATAAAAAATCACAAGATTTCTTACTGGACAACTAATGCACAAAAATTTCAAATTATAAAGTAAAAACTTATTCTCACACTTGATTTTTTAAAATACTTCGTAAAAAACATATAAAATAAACCCATTATTTTGAAGTATGTGTAATAAAATACAATTTGAATGGACGTTCATTTAGCAATTTGTGAAGGAAATAAAAGAATTTTGTTTATCATTTATTATTTGTCAAACAAAATCCTCATGTATGATTTTTTATATTGTATTTAAAATGATGTTATAAAAATTATTGTAACAGCTCTTGAATTTATTTTAGAAAGATGTGTGTGACTTTAGAATGGGTGCGAAAATGCCCTGTGACAATTTTCAAAAACATGATTTATTTTTAAAAGCCAAAGATTTTTTTCTTTGTGAAACATTTACTCAGTGTTGTGCCATTTATGGTTCCAATAAAATTTTATTGGAACATTTAAACAAATTCCAATTGGAATTGGAATGTTCCAAATGTGGTTCCAATGGAGTTAACCAATGAAATTCAATTACAGTGACACCCACACAATTTTTATTGGTCAATATCAATTGAAGGTCTACATTGGAACATTCCAATAGTGTTACAATGTTCCAATTGCACAACACTGCATTTACTATGCTACAGTTTAATAAGTATATACAGTGTGTTGCGAAAAAAATTGCGCATAAATAAAAACATATATCTCAACAATCATGCATTGAAATTAGATAAAAATAGATTCATTTGAAAGCCCAGAATTTATTTTATTAGATGCAAAAAAATTAATAAGAAATTCTATCTCCATTTTTTTGTAATATTAATTCACAATGATTTTTGTACAGTTTCTTGGGGGATTTTATCCCATTCTTCAACCATAAATTGTTTCAACTCACTAGTATTTCCTGGCATTCTTCTTTCTACATTATTTTTTACAATCTGCCACATATTTTCAATGGGATTCAGATCGGGACTGTTGGATGGCCAGTCTAAAACATGAATATTATTTTGAGATAAAAAGTTTTTTGCAACACGCAAAGTGTGCTTAGGATCATTATCTTGCTGCAAATGCCAGTTTCTACCATACAGCTGTTGAGCAGCAGGAAGAAGCTGGTTTTGCAAAATATTCACGTAAAAAGGACCATCCATTATTTCTGTAAAGCAAAACAAGGGGGTTTTGCCATTCAATGAAATTCCACCCCAAGCCATTACCTTTTGTCATGATTTTGGTAATCTTCTGACTGGTCTTTCTCCATTTTTATACCATCTTGAAATTTTATTGTGAAATAAATCGAAGGCAGTCTCATCTGTAAAAATGGTATAATCCCAGTCATCATTCAAATGAGTTTGTGCCCATGTTTTTCGAGCATCAATATGACTAATGGTAAGCATTGGGGTGGAAAGTGGTATGGCACTATTATACCCTTTTTTTGCCATGTGTCGCCAGATATTAGTGTGTGAAATAGATATATTATGTGTATCTTGAATTCGAACTGCAAGTTGGCGTGTTGTAATTGCAGAGTTATGGTGAACTAATTGCCCGATTGACCGTGAAACTGTTTGTATAACCTTAGAACAGTGACCATTACCGCCAATATGTTTAATAATACCTTTTTCTTTGAGTTTTTTGATATTATAATTTTTTTTTCACATATATAATTATATAATTAATAAAATAATAATAACGTTTTAATATATTATAATCTATTCATTATTTGCGCTACCAATAATGATAAAACATATTACAGTCAACCCCCATATGCACCCCATAAATGCACGCCCTCTCTAAATGCACGCTCACACTCATTCCCGAGCTTGGGATTTAAGAGATAAGTGCACCCCTCCATACATGCATTGCACGGTTCTTTTTTCATTCCCAACTATATAAAACCACCCTCCCTAAATGCACTCCTGTGACTTCACGTGATATTTGCAATGAAAATTGTGCAACATGTTATAATGAATTTTTTTCAAAAAGTTCAAGTTTGTATTTTTATACAATACATTAATTTTTTCCTTTTTCTACAATACATTCATTGTTTGATCTTTTTACAAGAGTACATTTATCATCGATCCTTTTCTTTTTTACAATATATTTATTGATATTTTTTTGCAAGAATAAAATTTGTTGTATTTTTATTTGATCTTTTTTACAAGAATACATTTGTTGTATTCTTATTTG